CATAAGTAACATTTCTGTTACTTTTCGCGTGACCTTGGATCGGGTAAGGATCGTCACCCCGATTCGGGCACCCGTGATCCCAAAAAATCGGGCTCACAATACTTAATGAATAAATGACTTTTCATAACCTTCAAAAATTTCTTGACGACATGAAATCTAATCTAAATCTGCTTGAGAAATTCATGCATCATAAAAATAGGCATACGTTGCCACAAACTTGGAAGGACAGTAATAAGAATAAACAGTACTATGGATAAGATTGAATATACTGTGCAAAACAGTTGTTTTTATTTTCTAAATACATAATTTACTTTATATTGCAATGTGCGTAGCTTTTGTATGCAACAATGCTTGTGAATTAATAATGCGAATGCAGTAATGTTTACGAATTAAAATGAAGTGGTATCTGTAAATTAATATTTCGCTTAACCACCTAAAATCATTAGAAAAATTTATTATCGTTTGTTATGAAGATTATCGTTCGTAAATTTGATGTCTCGGCAATCACGTGACAGGTCGGAAGATCATCTGTCTGCGCCCTCGATTGGTGGTAACGCTGGGTCTTTTCAAAAAAATTAACATTACTAAAAAATGTTCTCACAAAAATTATTCACGCAGCGTACATTTTAACATATATAATTCAAAATATAAATGCATAATAATTAGGTTGATATGCGAGAAAACGCACGCATAAATCCATACAGAAAACACATAAAAAGGATGTCGTCACATGCATACTTGTATGGTATCATGTATAATTATGTGTGCCTATCTATCGACATATATCCGTATCATATATTTTACAATCCTCATAGGGAAGCTTTACATAAATCAATCATTTCATATATGCAAAGAAACACTCAGTAAAATAAATCAGCTAGTGATAAAACGTTGTAATATCTTTTCTAATATTAAACAGGATTATTGTCTATCCATTGTTCAACCTCTTTACATATTGTACAACCTTTTTACGTACTTTAATAGAAGCTTTATCAATCATCTCAATAATTTCTGCTAGTTGTTCGTCGTCTTGCTGATTTTCTGCAGGTTGTTCATCATTTCGCTGTTCTGATAGCTGTTCATCTTGATACTCATCTATGGTTGAAGTATATATTTCGTTGGGTGTTGATTTACATATTTCGGTGGGTGTTGATTCGCATATTTCGTTTAGCGGTTTCCACGGTTCATCTGATATCATATTGTCTTGGTGTATCAATTCAAATATTTTTTTAATTTCCGGGCGCAATTCGGGGTTTCCGTTCCAACAAGCAGTATAAAGTTCAACATAAAATGCATTTGATCCAGGTATTGGATTCTCTCTTTTTCCATGTACTATATCATTTGCTAATAGAACATTTGAAAAAGCTCTTATATCTGTATTAAACGGTCGTTGACCCTTGCTTGTAATTTCCCATAAAACAACACCAAGGCTATATATATCAGATTTATGATCAAACATCGTAGTTGCGTTACATAATATATGAGGGTCAATAAATGGTACCATTCCTCCCATTTTCTGGTTTGATTTACTGTTACGAGGAAGGACTTTAGAGAGTCCGAAGTCTGTGATTAAAACCCTAATATCATGTTCGAACCTTTTGTCATTTTTAACATTTTTAACGACCACATTTTTAGTATGCTAATAAATTATAAAATTTTTATTAAACGTTAAATGTGTTATTTAGCTTTCTACTGATGAAAAGTATAACTTACAAAATCACGATGTAAAATTCCGATTTCATGTAAAAAATGTAGGCCACGGACAACCTGCCTCGCAATGTCGATCTTTTGCTTCCACTCTAAAAGCCTATTTTCACCTAAATAACATCGCAAATCATTATGATCTGCATACTCTAATACTAGATAAAGCTCTATTTAAGTTCGAAAAGATGTAGCGGTAGGTCAAACAATAAATTTAGGTATAGTAATATAGATTAAATTTTGTACGTATATATAATTTACCAAGTTCGACACTAGATATATTATATCAAATATTAAATAGTTAACCAAGTTTGAATAGCATAAGTTATATTATATTAAGTTTTAATAAAATACCAATGCTTTGATACACCAAGAAATTGGATTATATTTTCATGGCCTTTGAGTATTTTCTTTTTGATTGCATGAAAAGCTTTAATCTACTTAAGTACAGGAAAGTCTTAGAATTTAGAATATTGTGAGTTTACAGGTTAATCTTACCTCTTTGATAAATTCTTGGTTATCTGACTCTGTAGCATTCATAATAGCTATGGCTACTTTTTTAAGAACAACTTCTATATTTCTAACTTTCCATTTAGCTCTTTTAACTTCTCCAGAAGTTCCAGCACAAAGATGTTGGATATCTTCAAATTCATTCCAATCGAGATTATCTACTAATCCATGTTCGCTAATCCTCTTAAGATATTCCAAATTAGTTTCATTTTCAAGAACTGTTAATAGTTCAGAATCCTCATCATTTTCAGGCATGATGACCTATTATGAAAGTTTGCGCATAGCTTAGAAATTTATTCAATTAATTTTCTCGGCCCAAATTTATATTTAGTCGTTTTACAACCAATTTTTTTGTTTGTGAATATGACTATGACAATCCTAACCTACTATAAACACTGAAATATAGTTTTACTTTAATTGATTTTTAAAATAATGCAAATTTGTTGAAGATTAGCTTTAATCTAAATTTATACACTAGTGATATTTCTGTGAATTATTTAATTATCACAGAAAAGCCGCGAGGTTATATAAATTTAATTTTTATTAGTCCACTTTGTACAGCATTTGTAGATTATCGGCTGATATAAATTCCTATGTATTTAATATGCATGCATACATATATAGATATTTCAATACTCCATTGTTAATAAATAATGACCTATAAATTATAGTGCGGCCGTTGGCAGTTTATTTAAAATAGCCGTATAATTATAATCTTTGTTATTAATAGTTCCTTAAAAATAAGTACTTTATGCGAATTGGAAATTTATTGGCAGACATTCTATGCAGAATATTTAATGCTGTTCACTTGTAGACAATCATTTTAGAGGCACCTGATCTTACAGGCAATAAATTAACTGAAAAGGTAATTTTGCAGAATTAATTAATTAAAAATTTACAGACAAGTTCATATTATAAACAGCTTGATTTGCTGATAGCAGTATCATTAAAAAGGAATTATAGTTATGTATCTATTTAGCATATTAAAATTAATAACTAATGCTATAGAAATGAATTTAATAAATAAATCAAATCCACTTTAATATTTAATTATTAAAATATTTTTTAACTAGAATTTAATCAGTATGTTACAAATTACGAAATAAATATAAAAAAAATATAACCATTTTTTTACATGCACATCGAATTTTTTCTTTTTTCAATAAAATTAAAAAATTTTATTTTCAAATCCATTATTTTAAATATATTTGGGTTTCGATGTTAAAAATCTCGAATTTAAGCCGAATTGTAAGTTTTTTTTCTTAATAGAGACTTAATATCAGCTTCATCAAAATAATATTTTTTGAATTACAGTACAGTTGGAGATAACTTCTATTTTTGTTATATACTTTGCTATGTGGTATATATAATCATAAGCATCAATTTTGATAAATACTACAATTTACATATTGATGTAGCAGTTAAATTGGTGAAAAAATTTTACACGTACCAAACTTTTATATGATACCATATTTACTTAGTTGATAACGTTGCATGATTGACTCAAAATCACTACTTTAATCAGTAAAAAAACCAATTACTGTAATGCTATTTCCCAAGTATCCTATTACAGTCGACCCTCCATAAATGCACCCTCTATAAATGCACACACTATGTATACCCTCTCTAAATGCACACTAATCTTCAGTCCCGAGCATATAGAGCACTTAATAAAATGCCCTCCATAAATGTACGCCCTCTCTAAATGCACATGTTTAAATTTTTGCTCATAGTCCCAAGGGGGTTGCATTTACAGAGGGTTGACTGTATTTCCTCAGATGTCAATTTATAAAGAACGGAAATTTATATTATTATAAGCGTTTATTATGTCATTATTAATTCAAAAATTTTTGCTCTAATTTTAACCTATATATTAAACAATGATTGTAAATATTTATCAACCTAATTTAGTTATATTTCTTTATATGTAGTTCTGTAGTTCTTATTAATAAACATATCTCTAATAAACATTAAGAATAATTTAAGGTAGCTGTGCACAAAACTAGGATAAAAGTACTTCTAAACAAATTCGTATAAAAAATTCTTTGGCTAAGTTTTATCGTAATTGTGGCTAACTGGCACTAATATAACGCATTATACAGTATAACTACAAAATTTGATATTTTTTTTGTATCTTTGGTATATCCTATACTTCTACTTGTTTGGATTAAGTTCGCCTTTTTTTTATAAAATTTAATCGTTACATTGCGTTAAACAGGTTAAGAGACAAATATGGTACTAACAAAATCCTGTAATTATGCGAATAATACGCTATCCAATCAGATGCATAGATTTGTGCACGCATTTTTATTCTTCAATAACATACACTTTGCTTCACTACGTTACTGTAATATGTATTTATGTATATTTGATTTGAATTTAAAACTTCAAATACATACAACAACGATATATACAATTTTGGCTTTTTTTTGTTCGTGTCAATGTTATTGTTTTCAATTGACAATAAAGGAAAGACAGGAATCGAGCATTCAAGTTTATTATTTAGACTCAGCCCTGATTAGACTTATATGAATATATATCGCTGGTCAGGGCTGAGTTTGATAAATATACTAAATAATAAATTTGAAAGCTCAAAATCCTGGTTATTATCAGGTAATCCTTTAATGAGCGTCTTATTTTGACAGTACATATAATAAATGGCAAAATTCATTTTAGAAAAATTTTCTGGAAATAGTTCTTCATTTAAGAAGTTCCTTCACAATATAAAAAATAAATCAAATTTAAAATAGATTTATTTTTGTGATGTAAATAAAGATCCATGTGTTTATCATCACTATGTATCGTGATTTATGTTGGATGGGATGCTGTTACTGTATTATCCCATGTTAGTATCACTTTGAATAAATCACAAAAAAGATCCACTTTAGTTACTAAAATTAGAATACTTATTAACGTTATTATGGGGAAATACTTATTGACGTTATAATGGGGATTAATTCAAAACCTTAATTCAAATTTTTAGCTGAATTTAGTTTAGGAACCAATTTTAATAATTCCCAAGAATACAAACGTAATGAAACCCTGGTATATCCGAAATTAAAATCTGTTATTTTTTTCTACCAGCAAAATTCTGAATCGGATTCCATGGAGGCATATGTAACAGCTATAAAATCTGAAATCGGAATCGTTATCGGCGGTCGGAATTAACAAATTCTGCCTAATTTTATTAAAAAAGTCATTGCTCATTTACTAAGTAAAATGCCCAGTTAAAAATTTTGTTGTAATCATAGTCGGCAGTATTACTTAATACCGGCCAAGCCAAATAAATTCCAACCTGGGATTTAGGGGATTGCATTGTAAGAAATGACTACGTAAGTACACACCTCTTAGGATAGATTTCAAACCGGAAATTTGGGGACTTAGCGCTAGTGCATCTCCGCATAGTCACATTACTATATATGCAAGCATGCACTTACGTACATACATATGTATGTATATATTGATCGACATGTTCATTCGGAAATTTTCATATGATAGATTAAATACCAGTGAGAAAAATCAATGCATGTTCGTACATACTTACCGGTACATACTACATATATCATCATTGAAGATAAACCTATTTTGTCAAAAATAACAATATGAAGGTCATAGGCTAATTCATTACATAATCGAAAAAGGAACAGATTAAAAGCTGCATAATATATACATAAGGGAATCAGCAGAAGTAATTTCCATTTTAGAAATTATATTGTTGTGATAAATTTTTAATACAGGGATTCTTGAACCGGGTCGGAGATTGTATGAATCGAGTTTATTCGTTATACGAATTCATCAACTCAGTTCGTTTAAGTTGTATTTGATTTTCATTAACTGATTATAACTAAAGTTTCTACTCGCTTAACCCAGTATAGCTTTCTCAAAGCATCATCTAAAGATTAAAATACATGTTTAGGAATAGATATATCTTAATTTTATTGTTATTATTTTACACAATTTTACATATCTAAAAGTTTTTTAAAAATTGTATTTATGTCAATTCACAATAATTGTACATTTGTAGTATAGTTGACTCTTTAAGAAAACATTCATAATAAATTAATTATAAAATAGGGCTATTTACATTATAAGAGATTCCAATAATATTTAATTTTAATATTGACTATTACTAGCTATAACAACAGGAGGAAACGTTGATGTTACACGATTGATTTCACACCGTGTGTAAAATCAATCGTGTAACATCAACATTTCCTCCTGTTAACTATAACCTATGGTGACGATAACTATAGGCACGTCAACCATGCGATTCGTGTAACATTAGCTACTCGTGTAACATTAACTAGACTTTAGCTACGTATTAACATTAACGTTATAAAGTCCAAATATAGCATATAAATTTTTTTTTATTTAATGTTAAAGAACCGGTATGGTAATCTATATAATACCTAGTACAAATTATAATAGCGCCCACCCTAATCCTATCCATTAAAAGGGAAACGCTTGTACGTAGAAGTTGCCTACCCTAATTTTTAAAGAGACCAATTAGAAAATAAAATTTAATACTTATTTAAAATCAAGTATCACTGATATGTTACTTCACAGTTCTAATTATTGCCTAAAAAATAAACTTATTAGTAAAGGTAAAGAACTTGTTAGTAGTAAAGCTGTCAAAATTATGACTAATAGTCATGATTTTGAAAGCCTGCCATTTCACTTACAATACTAGTAATATTAATATTCACAATATAAATTATTACTAGTTCATAATTACATGAAATCATGTATCATAATTAGAAGCATACTATGAATTATACCCTATGCTGTTACAAGTATGTACATTAAGGTTTGTTCCATCATATACAAATTTCTTTTCTAATTATTGTTAGTTCAAATTATATTCATATCATAATTTGAAGTGCCTTATGAAAATTATGTTATAAGATGTGGTGACCTAATAAAGTGGTCAGGTTTTTAACCTTTCAAGTAGTAGGTTGGGTGTTCAAATCTTATCAATGATGAATATTTGAATAATCACTTATATAATATTCATATTATAATAATTGTTATTAATAATTGAATTAAAATATCTATAATAGTGGTCACATTAGCATAATTAGCAGATTATAAGGCATTTGTGTAATTAGTTACATAAAGAAATGCAAATTGACAAATCAGATAATGTAAACATTTGAAGTTATGTAAATCTATTGAAATTAAATAACAAGAAGTCTATTTGAGAAGACTTGAATAGAGAGTTAATCAAATCTTCAATGTTCTTATTATAAAAACTA